TTTCATCCTAGTTCTAACATTAAAACTACACAACAGTAGTTTGTTACTATTTAATCGTAGTTCTAACATTAAAACTACACAACAGTAGTTTGTTACTATTTAATCGTAGTTCTAACATTAAAACTACACAACAGTAGTTTGTTACTATTTAATCCTAGTTCTAACATTAAAACTACACAACAGTAGTTTGTTACTATTTAATCCTAGTTCTAACATTAAAACTACACCTTTATTCCTAGATTGACTTTCATCGTGTTAAGATTTTTTTAAGGAACTATTTTAGTCACGTACATATATATTGACATTTAAAGTAGGATTCACCCTACAGCGTTTTCAGTGAATTAATTAACAGTTTACTTTAGTTAAACATTTAATATCTGATGACCGTGAACACGACATTGTTATTAAAGTAATCTGAATGAAAAACTTTTCAACAACTAGAGTAGCAGTAGGACTGTTCCAGTACTGGAGTATCAGGATGGTGTTCTAATCGTATTTTATCAAGTTTACCGGTCTCAGTCACTCTTGTAAAATGTGAAGTTAACGTGTGATACACGTAGTGCCCTACTGATGTTACACGTTGAAGTGAAGTTAATGTGTGATACACGTACTGTCCTATTGATGTTACATGTGAAGGTATTGTGTGATACACTTAGTGTGCTATTGATGTTACACGTTGACGTTAAGGTATTGTGTGATACACGTAGTGTGCTATTGATGTTACATGTTTACATGAAGGTATTGTGTGATACACTTATTGTGCTATTGATGTTACACGTTGACGTTAAGGTATTGTGTGATACACGTAGTGTGCTATTGATGTAACACGTTGACGTTAAGGTATTGTGTGATGCTCGTAGTGTGCTGTTGATGTTACATGTTGACGTAACGGTAATGTGTGATACATGTAATGTGCTATTGATGTTACACGTTGACTTTCACGGGTCCACTATCTTCTGATATTTTTAAATAAACTTTCACATAAGTTACTTAAATTGTGTGTGTGTAAAAGAAAAGGTCCACTTTTCCCCCCTTGCTTTAGGGAAAAGTGTTTACAGGGAATTGTACAATCATTGCTCTAGGGAAAGGTGTTTACAGGGAATTGTTCAATCATTGATCCAGGGAAAGGTGTTTACAGGGAATTGTACAATCATTGCTCTAGGGAAAGGTGTTTACAGG